ACAAAACACATTGTTCAAGCAAAGGAAAGTAAATTAGCTTAAACTGGACAATATGAGACTTCTATAATTAGCAATCTTATATATATTATCTGTACAATGGAAATGTGTTATTAATTAATGCAAGTATGCATTAAGCTGAAATCACGATTTGCAGTAATGCTCAAGTTGTGTTTCCCACACGGAAAATTCTGGCATTGTACCTGGAAGGGCTTCACTCCAACTCCATTTTTGTTCTTCTTTTTCACAACATCAATGAGTTTGGTCACGAGCTGGTCAGCCACATAATCGACGTGTCTGCCACCCTGAGGAGAATGGGACAAGGAGTGAAGCCACTAAAACCCACAAAATTATAAACATCCATGTAAAACTAAGCACATTCTTTGCAACATTATTTTTCACTAACATATGTACATTTACAAATAGCCAAGAGTATTAATGTTGAAGAATATGGCACTAGCTCGACTAAACACACTAAGGAGTTACCTTTGTGGTGGCAATGCTGTTAACAAAGCTGACTTGCTGGAAGCCTTTTTCACTCAAAGTTAAGCACACTTCCCATCGGGAATTGACTTCCTCATGGATAACTTTAAGTGCATTCCCAGTTTCATCGACCTTATCCTTCAGATAGAGGTCCACATAGCTGCGGAATCCTTTCACCTGCACGCAGATGAGAGCAAACAACTGGTTGATAACAGCTCCTATAAATACTTAATTCACATCCTCCTGCAAAGCAGGTGCAGAAATCCCTCCTGCACATGTTCCTTTGTTCTGTGTGATGACAGGAATGGCCTCAACAGATCTCACTGGTTAAATGGCACAAAAAAAATGTAGATATTTGTGTTTCTTTTCAATGCTCACTTACAGGAAGCCTCTGTCCATTCAGGAAAACCTTGACATCCTTTGTGGACCCAGCAATATCATATGCTCTTCGAGACATCAGTGCTACAATGTCCTTATCCAGAATGGTCATTTTGAACTTGGACAGATCAGGTTGGAAAGTAACACAGGTGTAATCATCTCCATCAAAGTATTTCAGCTTCATTTCTCCAGCCTTTCCCATATTGTCTGTCCAGGTCTGAGGAAAGGAGCTTTGGTGAGTTGCAAGTCAAACACACACAAATAACTACTTTAGTTTTTAAATGCAGTAAGATGGTTTATGTTTTAGATACCTATGAATTAAACAAAAAATTCTGGTTAAAAACCAGATTCTGACGCTGTCTGCTAATTTCATTATTCCTTTGAATTACATTTTGTGGGTTAAATTTACTCTAATCACAATGAACTGACTGCAAGGTATGCATAGAGTTTTGAAACAAAACCTGAGGGTCTCATTTGAAAACCTCAGGTATAAACTCCCTGGAAAGAAAAGCACTCCTACCTGCTTGAATAACTTTTTGTATTCACGACATCCAGTTTCCACAGTAAATTTTGTGCTGAATATGTTGCACAGTTTGGCTCCATAACCATTTCGCCCCCCTGGAATTAGAAGGAACACAGACTTGTGTTATTATCTTTGTCCAAAACCATCTAAAAGAATCCAAGACTAACTGGAGTTTGTCAATGTCAGCCCAATCCAAGGCCAACTGCCAACAAGCAACAATATTCTACAAGCTCAGTAAGCAACTACAAACTTTGATTTAATTAGGGTTTAAGAGAATACTCAAAGACAATTTTCCCTGTTCCCACGTTTGCACTGTTACTACAATTAAACAGAGCACAGAGACTTCTCTGATCGATTCAGAATGTAATTTTCATAGAATCACAGAATGATTTGGGCTGGAAGGGACCTTAAAGCCCATCCAATCCCACTATCTGCTGTAGGCAGGGCACCTTTCACTAGCCCAGGTTGCTTCAAGCCCTGTCCTACCTGGCCTTGGACGCTCCCAGGGATGGGGCAGCCACAGCTTTTCTGGACAACCTGGGCCAGGGCCTCACCACCCTCAAAGAGAAGAATTTCTTCCTTATATCTCACCTAAATTTCCCCTCTTTCAGTTTTTACGCTGCATCAAGGACCCCCTTCCTGCCCTTTCTAGTTCAGGTCACACACTCAGAGCTGCTCAGAGATATTAGTGCGTATCTGAGCCTTCCCCACCTGTGACTTTCTTCTCATTGTCATCATAGTTGCTGGATGTCAGCAGCTGTCCAAAGATCAGAGCAGGCACATAGACCTTCTCCACTTTGTGTTCAACAACTGGGATACCTTTCCCGTTGTTCCACACGCTGATTGTGTTGTTCTCTCTGGGGAGGGAAAGAAAAGTCTGTTTTTAAGGCTGCAAATGGCTGAGCTGTGAAAGGAGTCACTGAAAGGCTCTGGGGAAAGGCACCATTTCAACCAGGAACAAATCTGTGCTCAGCAAGTGCAGCAGCTGCCAGCAGAGGGGGGACAGGCAACACTGAAATGCCCAGATCTGCACATGCCGGCTCTGAAATGGACCCACAGACAAAACCCTCCAACCCTCTGCTCAAGCAGGATGAAAAGGGAGAGGAAGAGGTGGAAAAAACCATCAACAAAAGAGCAGCCGTTTCCCCAGTCAGCCCTCAGTAAGAGATCAGGGGACTAAGCAGAGAGAAAGGCTTTCACAACTGGTGACTTAAATTTGGGCTATCTTGGATCAGCCCCACGGCAGAGCCCTGCAGTGCCACCTCAGCTTTGCAGAACAGCTGAAGCCAACGAACCATAGTGAAACCAAACTTACACATCAATTGTGACTTTAATGCACGACATGTTTTTATCCCTCTGCTTGTTGTCTGCGGCATTGACTAGAAAGAAAAGAGAATATTGGTTTTTTATTATGCTCCAAATCAAGGGAAAACTATGAACTGTGAAGTGTTCCAGTAGAATGAAAGCAAAAACTCACAACAGTGTTACTAATAATCATCTCAGCATGAAAATATTTTGCAAATTCAAAGAGGAGCACAACAAGTTATCATGGAATTATGAAGGTTGGAAATGACCTGTGAATTCCTCCAGTGCAACCATTAACGTAAAAGGGAGAATTTTGGGCAGAATGAAATCAGGTTTGTAATTGGATTTTCGAATTTTTTCTTTTTGTTTGTTTCCCATGAATAGTTTGCTATTAAGTAGTGCTAATAAATTCCTGATAATTTATGTTTAGTTCTTCCATTCAACCCCCGTTAGTAACCTACCACTCACTGATTCAATGGATCTGTCAGCTTACCCAGAATCTCATCGAAGATTTTGTACAAGCCAGGCACAAAGGTCACATCTCTGCAGTTGAGGCCAACACCTTCATCATAAACCCACATTTGCTGGAATAAAAAAGAAGGAATTTATAAGTGCCCAAGTACAGCTCCTCTTCTGTGCCATCCGTTTGTAAAGCAGGTGTTTTGTGATTGATAAGCAGATGTTTCGTGTTTTGTAAACAGCTGCTAATGACTCCTAGCCTGCCCCGAGGGGCTCAGCCCCACTCCCCCCTGCTCCTACCTGGGTGACGAGCTCCACAGAGCCGATGTAGGTGTCTGGCCGGAGCAGGATGTGTTCCAGCTGCGTCTTCTTCTGGTAGATGTGCTCCACCGTCAGCTTCTTGGGGCCATCGGGCTTGTTCACACGGATGTTCTCGTTCGCGGGCTGTTGGGGGAAGGCAGCGGCGGTGAGGTCGGTGAGCGAGGGGAACGCGAGGGGGCCAGGCCGGGGAGTGGAAGAGGATCGGGGTTGGGAGGACAAAGAGAAGCGGAATCGCAGAGAAGCGGGGAATCTGAGGAGAGGGAAGGGCTGGGGAAAGACTCGAGAGAGGGTCGCGGGGAGACCCTGAAGGAAGCCCAAGGGGGGCTGCGAAGGACCCGGGGAGACCCTGAGGGGGCCCGGGGAGAACTTGCGGGTGTCCGGCGGAGGCTGAGGGGGACCCGAGACCCCGAGGGGACGGTGTGACGGGGGATCACGAAGCCACGCAGGGTCGGGGGCAGCGGTCGCAGGACGCACCCGGAGAGGAGACGGGGCCTGCGAGAGCTCCATGGTGATGGTGGCGATAGCGGCTGAGGCGGTGATAGAGGCGATAGTGGCTGAGGCGGTGATGGCGGTGCAACGTCCCCTTCAAACCTCCGCTCGTCCCGCCGAAACGCGCAGCCAATCGCAGTGCTGGGGCGGGCACACGGCCAGCGTTCTGCCTGCCCTCTGACCAATCAGAGACCGCACCGTGCGTTCAAACCGGCCAATCGGGAGGGAGAGCGGTGAGATGGGCAGCAGGATTGACCAATAGAGGAGCGGAGGGAGGGCGCCGAGGCTGGCCGTTTGTCTTCGGTGGCGGGATGTAGTGGGAGGTACTGGGACGTACTGGAATGCACTGGGAAGCCCTGGGCACACACTGGAATACACTGCACGGACCCTGTGGATCCACTGGGGTACGGGTACAGACTGGGCAGCCCCCAGGGACCCAGTAGGCCACTGGACAGACCTTCGACACGCACTGGGATAGACTGGGAATCATCGGGATACTCTGGCCAGACCTTGGACACGCACTGGGGTACACTGGGAAGGCCTCGGGAGCCCACGGGAGTACACTCAGCAAGACGTGGCAACCCACTGGGATATACTGGAACACTGTGTTCTGGGATCAAAACACAGACATGGGGACCCGATGCCAGGGTGTCCCCTCCCAGTTATTGCAAATGCCAAGGGGACTGAAGCCCGTTCCCTGTTCCTGTTCCCTTTTCCCATTCCCAGGTGTATCCCCTTAGCCCTTTGCTGCACCTGGCCATGTCCCCCCAAGAACAAAGCATGGTGTCATAAAAAAACAACATTCTTTTATCTTTATTTCTGCGTGGTGACACTGTTGGCTCCAGTGGGGGTGAGAGGCTGCAGGCACAGCCTAGCATTGCCCCATGGCACAGGGATCCTTGGGATGGCACAGCCTGGCTGTGGATCCGATGTCCCCTCAGTGCTCCAGCACAGCTCAGACACCACCCATGGTGCTCCCAGGGACATTCTGCAGCCACACAGGGCTGGAGGAATGCCTGGAGCACATGGTTGGGTGTCACCGTTGTCACCACATGTGCCGGTAAGGAAAAGCCACCTCGATGCAGAGCACGGCCAGCGGTGTGGAGCAGTTGTGCCGGTGCCCAGCCAGCAGCCGGCCCTCCCCCAGAGCAGTGGCCATGCCCTCGGCCGTGCCAGAGCTGCGCCAGCCCTGGCAATCCCACCGGCGGGCATGGCCACCCCGTGGTGTGGAGCCGTGCCAGGCCAGCCGGTGGGGCCTGTGGGTGGGGACAGGGTGAGAGGGGCTGGGGACACCCTGGGCACCGGCGCTCTTTGCTCCTGGGAGGGACCCAGCACAGACCCCCCCTCTCCAGCTCCCACACAGGAGCAGCCGTTCAGGACCGTGTCCAGACTCACCAGAGCGGATCCGTCAGGATGTCACGCCCGTTGAAGGAGTAGATGGGACCCTGCAGGGTGGCACCAGCCTGACCCCCAAAGAGGGAGCCCCAGGACTTGGCCAGCAGCTGCCCCTGTGGGCACGAGCCGTGGTGCTGAGCCAGGGGAATGCCCTTGTCCCCACCATGTGTGGGCAATAACATCCTCTGGGTTCTGTCAGCTCCCCAAAAGCCCTGAGCATGGCCCAGCTGCAGCAGCCCCAGAGTAGGTCTGGGTGGGGGTCCCCCATCCACTGAGGCTTTGCCACCCTGGGGACAGGGACGGGGTACCTGCCTTCAGGTTAACGATGGGGAGGGTCCTGTCTGTCCTCTTGACGATGGACACCAGCTGCTGGCTGGGGGCTGACAGGAAGGCCCGGAAGGTGCCATAGAGCCCGGCCTCCTGTGACTGCCGGTAGCACTGCAGGTCAGCGCCCCGGATCCCGCTCATGTCACCAGACAGGGGCACGTTGAGGGCAGCCAGGCGGAGCTGGGGATGGCAGGGAGGAATGGAGGTCTCTGCTCCCCCTTTCCCAGAGGGTGCAAGTCCCTGGCAGTGCTGGCCAGGACTGGGGGTCCCCTGGGCTCCTCTCCCCCCTCTGCCATGACTGGCCACTCATCCCCACCCTGGGGCCAGGCATTCCTTACAGATGGGATCCGTGGGGCGATGGTGGTTGGCAGAATCTGGGGCAGCCCTTGTTCCTCCTCCTTCTGGATCTGCAAAAACACAGCTCAGGTCAGTCTGGGGACACCCATCCGTGTGCCATGAGTGGGGGGCACCCATCCCTGACCAACATGACCCCAGGCTCTGCTCATGCCAAGCTGGCACTGTCCTGCTGACATCCAGCCCATTCCTATGGCACATCCCTCCCAGCACGACCAGACCCTCAGCAGGGCTCACCAGTGAGTCTGTTGGAGACTGCATTGGTGACAGCGTGTTGGGGCCTCTTGGCTGCACCCTCTTTACCTCCTGGATGGAGAGGTGGAAGAAGAGGGAGAGAACAGTCCTGTGTGGTCTGTCCCATTCATCATGCAGAGGAGGGTTCTGTCCTCTTACAGGGACATGAGTGGACCCTGCAGTTCCTACACCCCTTACCTGGTACTGTGGGGTGGAGGCAGAAGGGTCATCACCAGCCAAGAAGGACTTTGGATCCTCCAGCTGCTCAACGACACGAGTAGAGGGAAAGGTTAGGGAGAATCCTCTCCTTCCTGGGGATCTGCTGTCCTAGTGCCAAATCCAGCTCTGGATCCTGCCCCCCCAGCCCTGTGAGGGACCCCACACGGTACCAGGAGGCGGCTCCAGCCAGTGGGGGTCCGGAGGAAGGCGTTGCTCCCTTCCCGTACATAGACCAGGCTCCCCTCGGGCACAGCACTGCTCGCCTTCACCATCAGCTCCTTGGACTTGAAAACCCATGTCTGGCGCTGGGGGAGTGCAGAGGGTGAGGGTCCTGCTGTGTGGTATGGGGCAGCTGGGGGGGTTTGCCCCGGGCCGCAGCCTGGACTCACCCGGAGATCAGCACGGGAGTCCGATGGATCTGTCTGAGGGACACCAGCATCTGGAGAGCCCAGAGATGGTGGGGGGTCACAAGGTGTCCCAGCATCGGTCCTGGGTGCTCCCATGGGAACTGGTCCCACAGGGATGCGGTGGGAGTGGGTGGGAGAGCCAGCAGTGGTGCCAGGGACCCGTGCTGCCACGGTCCCGGCGCCCAAGGAGGGGAGGTAAGACTTCAGGAAAGGTGTCCCCAAGGTGGCTGGAGCCCCCAAAACACCTGTGAAACACCCTCACCTGATGGCCAGCTGTGGTCTGCAGATGCCTGTGAGGGGAAACGGAGCCTGTGTCTGCTGCTGGGCACAGGGAGGGGGACGGGGACACTCTTGGGGACAGTGAGGCTGTGGCTTACCGGCTGCTTGCAGGGTGGCTGGGCATGCACAGGGTGCACCCTCTGGAACCAAAGACAGGCAGGTTTGGGGGGGCCCTAGTGCTGTGCACACTCACACGTGTGTGTGCTCTGGCACAGGCATGTGCACACCAGTGCTGGGCCTTACGTTGAAATAGAGGAGACCTGGTGGGCCAGGGGGGCCAGGGGGCCCAGGAGGGCCGGGGTTCCCGGGGGGACCTCGAAGACCCTGCAGTAGAGCAGTGTAGAGATTGGACTGGGCTATTTTGGTGCTGCCTTTTAGGGGGGCAGCTATGACACCCAGCTGATGTCTCCCATGCTTCCCACTCCTATCCCTTCCCAGGGCTGAATGTCCCTGGCTGGGGCACCACAGACACCGGCCAGGGAGTGACTCTCACATGGGGGATGATCGCTCCATAGATCTCTGGTTCCTCTTTGCCATCCTGCAAAGGGAGAGGGAGAAGACTGAGACTGATCTCCATCCTCCCTCTCTCCATTTTCCATTCTCCCCTTCCCGTTCATCCACCCCATCTGGGACTATGGGTCTTGTGGTGTTGCTGATGGGGTGAACCATGTCCCCAAGGCAGGGCTGAGGTCCCCAGGCACCCCTTCCCCTGGCCACTCACCGTCTGGTACCTGTTGATGGACCCCCAGGAGCCAGGCTGGCTGCCAGTGCTGGGGAAGGGGAGGTGGCCTGGTTTGCACCTGCGATCCCCATAGCAGCACCCCTGGGTGAGCCACAGAGAGAGGCAGGATTAGAGCCTGTGCTGTGTCTGGGTGCTGGGGTGTGCTGGGGATGTTCATGGGTGGCACAGATGTGCACACATGTGCCTCTCCACGTGCCATGGTGTCCCTCATTCCCCACCCTGTGCCCCATGCCCTGGGGGGAGGTGAAGGGGGAGCAAAGGCAGCATGGAGGGCTCAGGGGTGCACACTCAGGTGTGGGGATGGGACCCCCCCAGCCAGCTTCCCCCACGCTGCTGCTCATGGCTACAAACCGGCTCTCCAGGGTCACCCTTTTCTCCCTGGAAGGGAAGTGAGAGATCCTGTCAGTGCCCAGCTCTGGGGGTCCCCAGGCCTCCCAATCCCCCCAGGCAGTGCTGTGCCTCACAACCAGGGTACCACCCACCATGGAGCTGTTTGGGCAGGGTGCCATGGCCAGTGCCCCTGCTCCAGGACCCCTGCCCATGGTGCCACTGCCTGGCTCACCTTGGGGCCCGGCAGCCCGGCCAATCCACGGTGTCCAGTGTGGCGTGAGTCGCACTGCAAAGAGAGGATGTGTGGGGTGACACTGGGGTGCCCCCTCCCTAGGACCCACAGCCCAGGACCCCCTACTCACCCTGTAGTCCCCTGGTGGTCCTGGTGGCCCCATAGGACCGGGCATGCCTGGGGATCCCGGCTCTCCGGTCCGGCCAGGGCTCCCTGGCATGCCTGGCAGCCCGTACTCGCCCTTGTCACCCTGAGGGCAGATGGCACAGGGTGGTGAGTGTGGAGTTGAGCCCGTGTGTTCCCCCACAGTGGCAGGATTGGGGCAGTCCTGGAGCCCCCTGAGGGTTTGGTAATGGGGCTGCTCCCCCAGGGCAGGGCAAGGGGCTGGTGAGCTCAGGTAGCCCACCCCACCCCAGTGCATGGACAGGGTGGGCTGGGACCCCCTTACCTTTGGTCCTGGGAATCCTGGCTCCCCTCGGAGCCCTGGTTTTCCAGGGAGTGATGCAGATCCTGGGGGACCAGGGGGTCCTTCGTGCCCAGGAACCCCAGGGGGACCCTGAGACCCTGGGAGTCCGGGTGCCCCTGGGGGTCCTTCTGGTCCAGCTGAGCCTGGAGACCCTGGAAGTCCTTCAGCCCCAGGGAAACCAGGTGGCCCCACGGCTCCTGGAGGGCCTGGGGGTCCTGGCTTTCCCTCCCGCCCAGGGGCCCCCTGGGGGCCATCATGACCTGGGTAGCCGGGGGGTCCGGGCATGCCTGGCAGCCCAGGGGGACCTGGGGGTCCTGGGTTTCCCGCAGGGCTGGAGACTCCCAGCTGCTTGTCAGGTTGCAGGGGGAGAGGAGAAGGAGCAATGAGCTACCATGTACCATCCCCTGCTCCCCCTGCCCTCCCACACAGCCACATGTCCCAGTCCTCCTCATCCCCGCCAGTCCCGCCGGGGACGGACCCTGCGGCCAGCACCGGCATCACCTGCCCTTTTCCCTGCTCCGGTGCTCACCTCGTTCTCTGATCTCTCCAGGAGTGCAGCAGGCGCGGGTGGCCCCCGGGCTCCCCAGGCGCCTGGGGGCCCCGGTGGTCCCGGAGGTCCCGGAGGACCAGGAGGGCCCCGGGGACCCTGGTGACCTGGCTGTCCTGGGCTGCCGGACTTCCCTCTCTCCCCTAAGAATCCGGGCTTGCCTCTCTCTCCAGGGAATCCTCGGTCACCTTTCTCTCCCTGTCGGGGAAATTCAAAGCCTGGCTCCACCTTCCGGCACTTTTCTCCACTGGGGCCCACCACGGGCACCTGCTGACCCCCTCCCTGGAGCCACCTGAGCCACTTCTCAACCCAGACCCCAAAGTTAGAGTTCAGATCCTGAGCAAAAAGGGTTTTGCACAGACAGAGGACGAACAGGATCTCGCGCAGTGTGTCCCTGTGGGTCCCCGCATACCCCTGCCCCTCCCCGGGGAGGACCACCGCACCTTTGGGCCGGGAGGGCCGGGAGGGCCGGGGCGCACGGGGCAGACACAGCCGGAGGTGTTGTGCACCTGGAGAGGGAGAGAGCGATGAGCCGCGGGACCGGAGCCCCGGCTGACGGGTCCGACACGAGTGCCCCGCGCCCATCTTTCACCTGGAGGGCTGGGTCCGTCTCGGGGGCCGACGGGACCCGCCGGGGCAGCCCCTTCGCCGTCGTCTGTGTGGAGGAGAGGACGGGCTGAGTGCGAAATCCCTGATCATCATCCCCATTCTCCACTTCCACCATCCCCGTCGCGGCCTGCCAGCCCGTGTCTTCCAGAGCCCCTTGCCCGGGTGTCCATCCCAGGCTGTCCCCGACACCTCCCCGGGGACCGGGACCCCTCCACCACCTGGATCTGCAGGAATTCCTCTTCCACTGCGCTCCCCTCAAGGATCTCCGGGGCGGCCGTGGGTCGGTGCTGCTGGGACAGACAGGGAATACTCAGTGCAGGGCTCGGGGGGAACCTGGGGGGAAGGTGGGACCCTTCCCCAGTCGGGGCTGGCCTCAGCCCGGCGGGGGGGTTCAACCCCAGCGCTGCTGTGGGACTGCCCCATGTGAGGGGACCCTGGGAGCTGCCGTGACTTCTTTCCAAGGGGGAAGAGGGAGCTGAGAGTCGCGCTCGAGATTGGAGCGGGGCGCGGTGCCCGGGCTGCTGTGCAAGCAGAGCACGGAGAAGGGGAAGGACACACAGCAAGGAGCCTGGAAGCAGCTGGCGAGTTTCGGGAGGGCTGAAGGAGCCGGAGGGGGGCCACTGCCCACGGAAAAAGCACCTGGCCTCGTGTGCGCGGCGGGGCACGGCCTGACCCCTTCGCTGTCCCCCTGGAGGCTTGGTCCCGGCGTCTAGGGGCTGTTGCCAGAGGAGGTTTGCTCAGCAGCACCTTCCCCACGCGCTCCACGCTGGTGTCTGTGTCTGCAGGAGCAGAGGAACGCTGGGATGGGAGGTGGTACCAGGCTGGAGGGGTACCAGGCTGGCACAGCACTCCCAGTTCCCAGCACCTGCCATGGCCACAGCAGTGCCACCAGCAGCCCTAGACCCTGGCACCCTCCACATCACCCTCCAAGTGCCCCCTCCATGCTGAGGTGCAGGAATTCGGGGTGCTGGGATCCCCATCCCGCCATGCCTACCTTCCTCCCCATCCAGGGTGGGGGGCGTGGGGCTGGTGCCTGGATCGGGGGTGGTGTCCTCTGAGCCCAGGGAAAACCACTGGGCCGTGGCAGGGTGCAGGCACCCGGCCAGCACCGAGACGATGCAGAGGGTGCGGAGGAGTCTCAGGAGACTGCTGGACCCCATTCCGCTGCCTCGGGGCCCGGCAGCCCAGGATGGAGGTCCTTGGATCATCCCACTCGTCTGGTCCCGCGGCCCCGGCACGGCGCCCGCTGTTATCGGCGGCCCCCGACACGCCCCTTGCCCGCCCCGCACCCGCACCCGCACCCCACGGACCGCATCCGGCGGTGCTGGGCACCCACGCAGCCGGGTCACCGCCTGTCCTGCCAGCCCAGGGAGAGGGGGGCAGTGGGAACCACAGGAAGGGAGCCAGGGCCAGGAGGAGATGCCAGAATGGATGCGAGGGAGGGCTGGGGAGGAGAAGCTGCCTGGAAATGGGGAGTAAATCCAGTGGAGGAGTGGGCTGGCTGAGAACAGAGGGCATTGGCTGCAGGTCCTCCCTGGGGTCTGTCCTGCTGCTGGTGGCTGGAGGCAGGAGGTACTGGAGACCTGCAGCATCTGTGTCCCAAAGCAAGTTCAAAGGGTCTGGGGTCTCACTGGTTTCATCAGAGCCACCCTCAGCTGTGGGGCTACAGCCCACCTGGGCTACACTGAGCACCAAGCACCAGCACTGAGCCCCTGCGTGGCCTCAGAGTTGTGGTTGGGGTAGGGGCAGCACGACTGTGGAGGCACCAGCCCAGCCCCAATCCATTTTACAGGATGGTGCTGGGACAGGGACCTGGAGGAGCAGTGCCTGGGTGGAGGTGAGGGAACACTGTCCCCCCCACGTGTGCCCCACCGGCCTCTGGCGCTGCCTTCTGCCCGCAGACACAACAGTCTCCCTGGCGGGCACTCAGTGCTGCCAAGGCCTGATAAGGTGCCATGGCCTGAGCGGGGCTGGGCACCTGTTTGGGTTTGGTCTCTGCTGGGACACTGGGTCAAGGCTGGTGCCTCTGCCCCGAGTCACGGCCACTGTGCAGCAGTGCCAGGCAGGGCAGGGGCTCAGAGCAGTGCTGGGTGACCACACATTGTGGGGCAATGCCATCAGTGCTGTCACTCGAGCCTCAAAATGCCAGTTTAAGCACTAGATGTACTCATCCATGAGATGAATTTGGGGCTCTCAGCCCAGGCCCTGCATGACAGGCAGCTCTGCTCCTCTTGTCCCACCCACCACACTGACTCCCACACCACGGCCCCCCTGCCATATCCAAGACCCCCGTGCTGTGCCCAAGACCCCGCTGCGGTGCCCACGACCCTCTTGCCACACGTAGACAGGTCCCTCCAATTGCCCCAGTCCCGATGTTGACTGAGATGCCCCGGGGCTCGGGGATCAACAGCCACGGGTGACGCTCGGGGATTGTCCCCCGGGCACAGGGGCTGCTCTCTGCCGTCTCCCGAGCCGTCGCCCGGTGCTGCGGGGACTGACGTGGCCGGGGTCCCAGGAGGCAGCCGGGGCTTCCGCCCGCTCCCGCTTTTCCCGAGTAGCCACTAGGTGCCGGCAGCCTTCAACCTATCCCGGGCTGTGCGGGGCGGGGGGCGCGGGGGGCCGCGGCTGCGGGACCGGGGGCAGGTGGGCTCGGGGAGCCGGCAGGGCAGCTCTGGGCCGTCCCGGGCAGACCGGGGCCGAGCCGCACGGGACGCTCCTTTGTCAGCAGCACTTTTCCTCCCGCCGGGACCCCCCACCACCCGGAGCCCGGAGCCCACCCCGGGGGTCCCGGCCGCATTCCCCGCGCTGCAGCCCCGCACGGTGTGTCCCCCGTTCATCCCCGTTGCTCTCCGGACTGAGCAGGGTGTCGAGGGGGCGGGTGATTCGGGTGGGTGGCTCGGGGCCGGGGGCTCCGGGCCGGCTCTCCGCACTGCCCGGCGCAGGGGCTGCCCCGCCGGCGGCCCCGCTGCTGAAGCCGCCGGTGCCGGTGCCGGTGTGGCCGCCGCCGGGGGGAGCGTCGCTGCCCGGTGAGTTCCCGGTGGCGACGGGGGCGGCCCCGCCGGTGGCCCCGGTGGCGGCGGCGGGAGGTGTGGCCAGGGGCCGCATAAAGCCGCATAAAGCCGCCGCCGCCGCCCCGCGCCCGCCGCCAGCCGAGCGCCGCGGAGCGGGGCCGGAGCGGGGCCGCCATGCGCCCGGGGCCGGGGCTGCCGGTGCTGCCGGTGCTGCCGGTGGTGCTGGCGCTGCTGGCGGCGGCGGCGCGGCCGGGCAGCGGCGAGGAGGCGATCCAGTGCCCGCCGTGCTCGGAGGAGCGGCTGGCGCGGTGCAAGGCTCCGCAGGGCTGCGCGGAGCTGGTGCGGGAGCCGGGCTGCGGGTGCTGCGCGACCTGCGCTCTGCCCCGCGGAACCGCCTGCGGCGTCTACACCGCTCGCTGCGGTGCGGGGCTGCGCTGCTACCCACCCCGCGGCGAGCCCCGGCCCCTCCGCACCCTCATGCACGGCCAGGGCATCTGCACAGACCTGGCCGACGTCGAGGCCATCCAGGAGAGCCTCCAGCCCCCAGGTGAGGTGGCGGAGGGGCGGCAGAGGGTGGGTGCCCAGGGTGGGTACCCTGGGTGGGTGCCTGGGGGTCCTTGTCCCTCACAGGGGCAGTGGCATAACCCCTGTTGGCACCAACCCACTCCCTGCTCACTCGGCAAGAGCTGTGACTAAAGGATTGGACTCATCAGGGACCTTCCCATACTTAGAGGAAGCTGATAAAAACGATGAGGAGTGATTTTTACACTGATAGATTGTGGCAGGGCAAGGGGAAGGATTTTAAACTAAGAAGGGAAGATTTAGATTAGATGTTAGGAAGAAATTCCTTCCTGTGAGGGTGGTGAAGCTTTGGCACAGGTTGCCCAGAATATTTCTGGCTGCCCCATCCCTGGAAGTGTTCAAGGCGAAGTGAGATGAGGTTTGGAGCAACCTCGTTGGGTGTAAGGTGTCCCTGCCCATGGCAGGAGGGTGGAACTGGGTGGTCTTTAAGGTCCCTTCCAGCCCAAACAATTCCATGACTCTAAGAAGCAGGATGGGAATGCAGGGAAGCATGTTCCAGGGAGCAGAGACAGGCTGCAGGAGACCTGGTACAAGTGCCTCCCGTTTGTGCCATCCTTACCCACTGTGGGCACAGCAGTGTCACAGCCACTGGCACCACATGTGCTGGAGAGGCAAACCTTCATCTGCTGTGCCCTGGCTGCAACGTGGACAGCCCAGTGTTCCACGAGCACCTGCAGCCCTTGGGGACACATCCCAGCTGCCAGGGAAGCTCCCGTTGCACAGTGACCCCTGGGATGCTGCCAGCAGATCTGGCTGCACTGCCGGGAGGAAACAGGAAAGAGGGCACGGGGCACCTGCTTTCCTCCAGGCTGTGTGGGAGCTGTGCTGTGCTGGACAGGGCAGCGGGGTGCAGGCAGGGCCAGGCTGGAGGAGCTGCTACCGATGTGCTCTGTCTGCCTTGCAGGTGGTGATCGTGGCCCCCCTGCCACGCCCCTGCTGCTCGGGCAGGATCTGGGGTCTGAGAGCAGAGCTGGCAGTGGGAGCCCACCCCAAAGCTGTGCAAGTCGCACCATGGGAATGAAGCTTCTCCCAGGGAATGAGTGTGGGGACCTGGTCCATCGGTGGTCCCCTTTTCCCATCCTGTGACCAGGACTATGTCCCCTGACGCTGGGGAGTGTCATCCCAGAACAATCTACAAGCTGCTCTAGCCTGACCCTGGGTCCGCACGTGGGGTCACTCGGAGCTCCCTGGGGGGCAGAAGGGAATGGAGCAATGTTTATCCCTGCCCATCCGGGGGGCTGGATCCCAATCCGCTCCCTCCTTGCATGTCTGATCCATGGCATCTCCTCTGGTGTCCCTGCTGTGATGAGTGCCGTTCGTGGATAGGTCCCTCTAGGCACCCCCCTGCAGGGACAGGAGCTGGCTGGGAGTGCTTGGAGCCCCCCTGTCCTGCCTGTCTGTCCTCATCCCACATCCTGCAGGAGCTGTCTGGGCTCCCTGGCCCGGGGCTGCGCCGTGCTGCCAAGCCCTGTTGGTTTTGGCCGTGCCCTGTGTAATGCAACATTTTTTCCCAGAGCCTTTAGGAAACAGACTTGCATTTTTTCCCTTCCTTCCCGCGGTGTTTTGGCTTGGCTGGGGATGGGTGGGTGGCTGTGGGAGCCGGGTCGCCCGCCGGGCACTGTGCTGGCCAGCGGCGTCACAGGCAGCAGGATGGGCAGGAGGAGCCCGTGTGTCCCGGACAGCCCGTCAGGATGTGGGCAGGACACCCACAGAAAATTGGTCGGTGCAGTCCCAGTGGTACCTTCCCCCGTGGGTCCCTGACCTGCTCCGCAGCCCGGGGACAGTGGGAGTGTGGGGCTGGGGGCTGCGGGACCCCTCGCTCCCACACAACCCTGTCTGGCACAGCGAGGGCACCCTGGCACAGCCTCTGATGTGTCCCTCGGGATCAGCAGAAGGGAATGAAATGCCTGTTCAGGGGCAGGGGCGTACGGAGCAGGTGCCCCCGGCTGTGCCCGCGGCCCCGGGGCCGAGCGGGTGCCGGCGGCTGGGAAGCGGTTAACGCGCAGCTCGTACAGTAAACACTTTGTCTGGGGGCTCTGTCCGGGGGGCTCCGCATTCCAGGGAAGAGGCTGGGATCAGGGGGCTGGGCTTTCTGAACAGTTGGACATGGCTCCCGGCTCCATAGCCAGGAAGAGCCTCTGTGCTCACCCGGGAGCTGTGGCACCCGCGGGATGTGAGGGAGCACTGGCTGCTCGCCTGACTTGAGACCGTCTTCCATGGCAGTGGGCACCTTGTGCTGGACCCTGTCCCTGCCACCCGCTCCCAGCCCCGCCAGCTCAGGACTGGCTTTGGGATCCCACTCCTCGGCCAAAGTCCTGTGCAGGGACCGGCTCCAAAAAGTCCCAGCCATGGCTTTCCATCACAGCTGGAGGTGGTGGTGGCTGAGCCCATGTGTGGCAGCCAGGAGGAGGTGAGGACACACTCCCCAACACACACGATGAGTGATTTAGTGTTGGGTAAATGATTATGTCTGGGAAAACCTGACCCATGGGAGCTGCATTCATCCCGTGTGGTCTCTGTAAACTGGGACAGATCCTTTTTCCTTCCTATGTGCTGGGAGGAATGGCAGTGGCTGAGCCATGGCTGGACCATGCACAGGTAGGGAGGACAGGCTGGGTTCGGCCAGGCAAGGATCAGCCGTATCCCATCTGTCCCCTGGGGTGGGGTTCATACACACCTGGGTTTTTCCAGGCTGGGTGCTGCTCCTGGCAATGTTCTGGCGCCTCTGGGGAATCACCTGCATCTGCATCCCTCACTCCCTGTCCTGCATCCTGACCTGCCCTCCCTCAGTCCCACACTGGGCACTGAGGTGGGAGGTGCTCAGCCGTGTTTGAGCAGGGCAGCGTGTCCCGGGATGGGGACAGGCCAAACTCCCAGCTGCCACCTCAGGCCAAGGGGCAGCAGGTGCCTGGTGCCTGTGCCCCTGCCATCCCTATCCCCAGCTCCCCGCGTTCTGCCAGAGCCAGCACTTGGCAAAAAGAGCCCAGCCTTCCCAGTGCTGGCGCCTGCCAAGTTGGGAGCCCAGAAAGGCAAGAGCCAGCACTGCCACGGTCCTGCCAGGACCACCCACAGGTGGCACTGGGGGTGCTGGGCAGGGACATGGAGGGTGCTGGAGCTCACTGCGGCTCGTGCCATGTTGGCCACAGACACGTGGATGTCCTTTCTGGCCTTTGAGGCATCAGAGGTCCTTCGTGCTGGGGCTGGTGGCACAGGGGGCAGCAGGGCTGGGGCTGTGAGGGTCAATGACACTTGTCTGTCCCCATGGACACACGCACGAGGTCCCAGGGCTTTGCTGGCTGCCCCAGGCTCTGCTCCCACGGGATCCGCGCGGTGGAGCCGGAGCCCTTCACCACTCCCTCGGACTCAGCGCTGTGAATCACAAGTTCGGCACGTGACCAACCTCATTTGCAGCTCCCGTTAATTGAAGGCGATGCTGAATGACTCGTTTGTGTCCCCTGTCCACAGGACGGGCAGGAATCCTCCTCCTCCTCCCGGGACAGGCTGTTTTATGTGTCCGGCGAGGGCAGCACCCCCTCCCATCCCCTTGCCACCCACTTCCATTCCAAAGCGAGAAGATTTTTCCTTGGCCAAATCGGGACCCCCCCTACCCTCCATCCCTCCAGGGTGGTGGTGCCCATGCATAGGTGGCAGATTGGATGGCATCAGGGCAGTGTAGGGCCCCACACACATTGCCTTTCCCAAGTCTTTGTGCTGAGGGTGAGTTTTCTGGTCCAGTCGGATTTCCAGGGAGGCGAGAGGCTCCCTGAGCAGCTGTGTGTCACTTAGCAGGGGGACAGTAACCCCAAGGGCAGCAGCGATGCTGGAGCTGCCCTGAGAGCCGGGGACCGAGTGCTGTCAGGAGCCGCCTCGCTGCCCGGAGGCACCGGCGTTTCATGTGACCTTATGAAAATGTTATTGGCATCTGGTTTTATTTAAGCCGGGAGATTTGATGCTCTGGAGGCGGCTGGCGGGCGGAGGAGGGGGTGTTTGGCTGTGCCGGCGATCGGTGAGGGTTTCCCTGCGGGGGCAGCGCCGGTGCCTCCCGGTCCTGCCTTTCCATGGCGTGGGAGCAGTGCGTGGAGGTGCCGGAATTTTGGCATGGTGGTCCCCACCGGTGCCAAATCTGCCCAGCTCTTCCTGTGTGTGTCCCCACAGCAGTACAGAGGAGGGAAAGGGCATCCTTGCCAGAGCCCCCGAGCCCCCGGCAGGGCTCTGCCACCAGCGCCCGCGTTGCGCCACAGCCTCATGGCGCTGGCACCGCTCTGTGCAGGGTCCTGGAGACTTTGGGTTTGTGTTTCAAATTTCAAGGGCATGAGCTATTTCCTGGAAAATATGGACAGATTAAGCAAAAAGTAAATAACACCCACGAGGGAGGGGGCTTTGATTGGGGCTTCACTCTGGACTTTAACCAGACCCCCAGGAGCTGGGCCAGGAGCCCTGCACTGCAAGGGACCGTGGCAAGAGGTGCCAATGGGAGATCAGGAGCGGGATGCTGTGGGGATACAGTGGGCA